TGAATATAATCCTTGTGCTATACCCTACAATCCTCATGACTACTGTGTAACAGCCAATTTGTACTTCTTAATCCCTTCCAGTTTTTTACCCACTCCCTTAAATCCCCTCCCATTCGGCAAATCATCAAAATGTTCTCTGTATCTATGAGTCTGTTTTGTTTGTTTATTTTGTTCTTTAGATTCCACATATAAGTGAAATCACATTGCATCTGTCTTTCTGTCTGACATACTCCACTCAGCACAATGCCCTCCAGGTCCACCCATGCTGCCGCAGATGGCAAGAACCCATTCTCTTCCCTGGCTATACCACTTCTTCTTATCCTTTCATCCACTGATGGATACCCAGGCTGCTTTCACGTCTTGGCTATTGTAATTAATGCTGCAATGAACATGGATGCATATGTCCCTTTGAAGCAGTGTTTTGAGTTTCTTTGGATAAATAACAGGAAGTGGGATTATAGGGTCCTTCTTTGTTGCATTATAGCCTTTGTTTTAAAGTCTATTTTGTCTGGTATAAGTATTGCTACCCCAGCATTTTTTTTTCTATCCCTTTACTTTCAGTCTGTGTGTGTCTTTCAATCTGAAGTGAGTCTTTTGTAGACAACATACATAAGGGTCTTGTTTTCTTAACCATTTAGCCATATTTTTTTATTGTAGTATTTAATCCATTTACATTGAAATTGTTGATAGATATGTAGCTATTGCCACTTTATTGTTCATATTTTTTACCTTTTTTTTTCATCTTAAAGAAGTAAGTCCCTCTAACATTCCTTGTAATACTGGTTTGGTGGTGATGAACTCCTTTAGATTTTTCTTGTCTGGGAAGTTCTTTATCTCTCCTACGATTTTATTTTTTAATTTTTTAAAGATTTTATTGGGGAATTGGGGGAGGGGAACAATGTTGGGGAATTGGGGAGGGGGACCAGCCAAGTTGTTGTTCTTCAGTCTTCGTTGTGGAGGGCACCAGTCGCCATCTGGCTTCCCATCTGCAGCTTGTGGCCTCTAAGCTCAAGGTGCTGTGTTCAATTAGCTGCAGGTAGGTGTAGCCACCATCCCATACAGGAGTCAAACCAGCAGCCTTGTTGTTAGGAGCAAATGCTCTATCCACTCAGCCATCCGGGCAGCAGCTCAGCTCAAGGTGCCGCGTTCAGTCTTAGTTGCGGCAGACGTAGCCCACCATCAAACAGGCAATCTTGTTGTTACACCAGCTGAGCCATCCTGCCGCCTGTTGGCAGGTCAGCAACAGCTCAGCTTGGGCGCAGTGTCACTGGCCCATGTGGGAATCGAACCGGCGATTCAGAGCTTGCACTCTTAAGCCAACTCTTAACCAACTGAGCCATTCGGCCGGCTTTCTCTTACGATTTTAAATGATAGCTTTGGTGGATCAAGTAGTCTTGATTGTAGATCCTTGCTTTTCATCACTTTGAATATTTCCTGCCAATCCCTTCTAGCCTGCAGTTTCTGTTGAGAAATCAGCTGACAATCTTATGGGCGCTTCCTTACAAGTTACTAGTTGCCTTTTTCTTGCTGCTTTTAGGATTCGTTG